CCCCAAAACCCCAAAACCCCAAAACCCCAAAACCCCAAAACCCCAATTTTTTATTTAATTATTGAAAAAAATATAATGAACTTGAACCAAATAGAGGCTAAATTTAAAGAGCTTCAAGACCGTGAGAGAGTAATACCCCAATCTGCATGAATCAAAACCCATAAAACTCCCACTTGAGCCTCCTTGATTGCTTTGCCCTCAGTTTGTCTGCTTCTAATAATTCTTGGGTTCTTCTCACCCTGAAGTATTTTATTCTGAAATTTCCGTTCAAAATTATTCAGCACAACTTTGCTCATTATTTCGAGTAAAAAATTTGTGCTGGCTGGCTGCAGGTTTTAGAGAAATTTTTAAAATACAGCTTTTGAGTAATTTAGAGAATTTTTGAAAATTTTGACTTATGATAAGTTGGAAGCATTTTTGTGCAACAACCAGGCTGATATTTGTTGTAGCAAAGAAGGATGATGAATGCTACGCATGCAGGCGGACTTACAGGGTCTAAGAAAGTGGGTACGGCTTTGGAATACTACTTTTTTGTGCTGTTTGAATGATATCTGGTGTATAGGCACAAGCTCGTATTTTGAAGAAGTTATGAACGATTTTTATATCGTGAGAGATACTGAGAAGAACTGGAATGACATGGGCATGGATAAGAACACCCACCACCAGAGCCAACAGTTTTTAGCCAATGCAATTAGTAAGATACTTGGTGCTTATAGATATCGGTAGAGATAATCTGTGTTTAGACCATGTGACCAAGAAGATGAAACCAATATTTCATAATAAGAAACTGACAAATCAGAAAATAAAAGCATCTGCCCTCCATGTAGATAGGAAGAAAGTTAAAGGTAGGAGATAGAACTTAGGGCTTAGATAAAGTAGAAAGCGCACAGAGTGGTAAAAGAATCTCCAGGGCTTTTAAAACTTCAGAAAAGATTGATGGTGAGTTGAATTTGACCTGTAGAATTCAATGAATCTGCTGAATTTGAATCAAATACATGCAGAACTGTATAAAAAGATTAACTTTATAGAACAATCATAAGGAGTCAAAGAAGGGTAGATTAGCCAAAAGTCGCTTCTCGAGCGGATCTAATGTAAATCCTGACTCTTCATCTTTAGATTGGAGAAGATCAGCCACTCAGCCCTTCGAGGGCAATGTCAACTCATAATCTTCTCAACGTTGAAGCTGACTTAAAGAACTTGCAGGATAATATTCAGATTGACGAGAAGATGTTCAGAAACTGGAACATGAAAACTGTGGATAAACGAGCAAAGGTCAGGAATGAAGCAGCTACTATGATTCTCAAATAACCAACGTAAGCATAAAATTGGCTCCCTTGAGAGACCCAGGATGAAGAAGATTAGATACCTCTTAGACCCAATAAAATAAAGTGTAAGCACCTTTCTTCTTATTTATAGGAAAAATGTTGTTGAGGGTGAGATTCAGATCCATAGTTTTCCAATGAATAACAACGATTTCTCAGCAGTTCCCAAAATTTACAACATTCCAAAGAACAATTATGATGATCGAGGTCTTGAGAAAATCAATGAAAAGGCTAAAATTGAGGTTACCAAGCACATGAACAACCCTAGAGGTAAGACTCGAAACATTGATGAAAATCCTACAAAGAAACTGACTTGTGTCAAGACTGAGAAGGAACCCCTCAAGGTCCCTGAAGAGGAGAAGGTCTTCCAAATTTTTGGAAATGAGGCTATTATTAATAACCCATCATCTAATACCACTAAGGTAAAGTTTTACTCAAAGCCCAACACTCAGAGGGACAGAAATACTGACCTGGAAGAACTTGATATAAGCAATAAGACCCAGACTAAGCTCCCCACTGTGATTCTTTCCCAAAGGAATCCTCCGAATTTTGGTAATTTTGGCTTTGAAGCTTTAGACAAGAAGGGACATACAACTGAAAGATTCATGAAGAAAGATAAGAAGGTATATGAAGATCTTAAGAGAAAACCTTTCAAATCTGTATCAGAGTATTTTAAGATTCTTGAGGCTAAGACTGGGGTAAAATTTGACCATCCCATGAACTCTCCACCAAGGAAGATGGACTCAAGCTTGCTAGTACGAAATCATCCAAACAAGACTAGAGAAAAGTAATGAAATGATATAAATTTAGCCTGATACAAGAAAATGTGCTGTTGTTCAAGCACAAGGGTGGCGATACTCCTGAATCAATTCGGTTAGAGAATATTATCAATACGAAACCTAGAAGAGTAGAAGATGCAGGTGAGGATGGTTTGATGCTCGCTGGACATAACCCTCATTGGAAACTACTCCAGTCAGGATTCATCCAGCAAAACACTCATGGAGATATTGGACATTTCATGGATTTTAATGATTACTCTGAAATAGATAAGCATCTCAGAATGGCTATCAATGAAGGTATAGTTCTTTAATTATTCATAGCAAGAAAACTTGAGACTCAGCATTCCTTCACTAATGAGATTCCAAGGTCAATTTTAAGATCTGTAAAGAAGCATGGAAAGGTGTGCACTGCAAAGAGACATTTTAAGAGCAAACCCAGAGGGGAACCTTCTGCTTTTGCCTCCCACACAGAGACTAGACAGGCTCCTTCCAATACTCCGAGCAGTATTGCACCTGAGCTGGTTCCTAAGTTTAGTACTTAGACACCTAAACTTAGTAGGAAAGTTCGGTTTCAGGTAGAAAAGAGCAGTTAAATTTTTGAAAAATTCAAACCAATTTTTGCCAAATATAAATTTTGTTGGGGCTAAATACCTTCAGGTGGTTTCTCACTTTGATCTACATAATCATCACTTTAAATTTGATCGACCTTAGAAGCCAGTCTCAAAGATAGCACAGCCTATCTCTGAAATTATAAGTTGAATGATTCAATTTTAGATTGTAGTTTTGGGGTTTTGGGGTTTTGGGGTTTTGGGG